GGTATTTATAAAGAATACATGCCACCAGGCATAATTGTGGGGTTTTTGTTAGGGATTTAATATAGTAAGAATTCAGCAAAGCATCAAATTGGTAATCCCAATGTCTCATAACACTGGATTTGAAAAAGTCAATTTATTTAGGAACAGAGTAGCCAAAAAACATTAAGAGTCTTAAATATTCTGAAAAAGATAATCACCAACCCGCATTCATGAAAAAGCAGAGGAGGAAGGTCATCAACATTAACGACTATAAAATGAAAAAAAAAAAAAAAAACACAACAGAAAAGGGGCCAGATTATTTGCAATAAAGACGCAAGCTTACCTTTATGGAAATGTGATCCTGAACATAGATTTTAAACGTTAGGAGAGGGAAAACATGGTTGTGTCAGTATATGCTCCCCTTATAAACCCATCCAACTTTTTAAGGAGTGGAACACCTGCAAAGATGTTTTGAACAACTGTACAGGAGTTAATCAAGAAAATATTCAAGCCACACAGCCTATTCAATGGACATTGATACAGCCCCCAAAAACAGTTGTTAAAGATGGCAAGTTGAATAATTTTAGAAATACTGCATTAGTCACTAAGCTTATAGTTAAGAGGGTGTCAGACTGTAATGTATCAGCCTGTAAAAGACAAGCCTTTAGTAACCAACCAGCCAATAGCAATAGTAGTTATGTCAGGTGCCAAGTAGACACGTCAGCATAAGATTGTTATAGAGTAAATGAGGGAATGCATACAGACTTTATAGTACAAGGCTTTTTTAGCTGGATTTCCTTTCCCTCTCAGAAAACAGTAACATCTCAGTTTAAAGCTTAGTTTTGTGCTGTCACCACAGATATTTGTGCATTTTACTGCATGGTTATAATAAAAACAAAATTCAGAATATGTCTTATATCCATAACATCACACATCAGTGCCGTTCTTAAGCTAAGAATTCTTTTTCCACTGTAAAGCAGTGCAAATTCCTGGCTTTGCTAACAGTTCAGGACTGCTAAGTAATAATAGAAGCTAACATCATTCTGTGCACTAGGGATGGGCAGGAGAATTTCACGTGTATTATTTTACCTAAACCTTTGAACAGTACTGTGAAGTAGGTACTATTTTATTATCTCTATTTTACAGATGAGAAAGCTGAGGCCAAGAGAGTAACTTGCAGAGATCCATAGCTGGTAGGTACTTGAGCCTGGTTTCATCCGGGATGAAACCAGGCTCCAGGGCTCATGCACTTAACTGAAGTACTCTTCTTAAGAAAGGTATTGGTGGAGAGGAAAGTGAAGGGGTTGGGGTGGGGGGGTGACAGATCAGATCCCTGAGGATAAGGTGGGGAAAAGGTTAGGGTAGAGACAGCATTCTTGCCCAAAGCTAAATTTCCAGGCCAGAAGTGGTTATCAAGGAATAGGAGTCTGAGCCACAGAAGTCAGTAAATGGAGGGGAGGGGTGGTTCAAAGGGAAGACTAGGACCTGATGTGTGTTTGAGGGGTGACTGGAGAATTTGGAAATAACAAAGCAAGTCTGTGAGCATAAAGGGGTGAGATTGTGAGAAACTGAACAACCCGGAAGACTCTTGGTGAAGGAGGAGGCAGATTCCTCAGAGAGTGGGTAGATGTGTGAACTGGTAAGGCTTGGGGTAGATGTTCTCTTACTGTTTTCATTATGCCTACCTGCCCTCAGTGTTTCCTCAGACATTCCCTTCTTCTTCTGGAAACTAACATCTGGGGTTTGGGGGTTGTTGTGTTGTTGTTTTTATGACTGAGCATTCAACTCCTGCATACTTAGATTTGTATAGTCTGGGAGAGTTCCTTCTTGGTCGATAGGAACTGTGCACCCCTGAAAAATACTCATGAATTATCTTTTTCCACAGGTGAGCACTATACATATTTTGTAATTGTAAGTATCATCTACCTCAGAGATACACCATGTATTATTAATACTCTGAAATAGATAATCAGAGCTGATTCTTTACAGTGTGTGTTATATATACTTAAATCTGACCAAGAATATTTTTATACTTTCATGAGAAGTATTATATTTGCTCTATTTTCACAAGCTTATGTTCTCCCCAAAGCATCAAGCCCAGAAACAATTGTTAAGAATTGTAGAGCACTCCTTGAATTTAAATGTGCATAATTTAATCATCAGCCTGATAGAACTGTAACTTATTTTAGCCAACCTATTCTTTATCTCTGTCCTACCCATCCCTCTTTCATTATTGTTTTTTTATTTTCTCAGTCCTGAGAAAATGATCTTGCATTATGTGACATCTATGCAAATGCCTAATAGAGTGTGTATAAAAAACATCAAAGGGTTTTTAAAATTTCTATTTTGTTTTGAATGCATGTAACATGAAACTTTTGATCTACTTTACAGAGCAAAGAGTCAAAACTATAAAGAAAAGAGCTAGAATCAAAGACTATGAAAATCTAGAATATATAGGACTTTAGGAAACTCGTTACCATAATTTTAGCTAATTTTATAAGGATTTTAAAAGAAATATTTTCTAAAGGTACATATAAAGTTATGCCATAGAAGTCTTATTTTAAATTATTTTTTCTGATGATTCTGTATTTTGTTACTAAAAACAAAGACAGGGGTTTTTTTTAGAGTGGACCCGCGGACCTCCATAAAGTGAAGGGGCTGAGGTGCAGAACCTTATTAAAGAGGGCTTTGTTCCCTCAGCCCTGTATGCTTTGGCCTTCCTTGGATGGAAAGGAAACAGTTCAGGCACCGTCCATATGCCCAGGAAGTGCCTTTGTCCCCACTGTGCAGATCTAGTTTGGAGCTGTGTATATATATGAAGCCATGTTTGCAATAAGGTTCCTAGTGAACCTTTTCCTGCATGCAATAGCCAACTAACTACCTGCTTTTATTCACTAATTGGGCATTAACTCCCTAATAGTGCCATCGTCATAAACCACAGTCCAGGTCCTTCTGTCTACCATCGAAGGATTAGACAATTATGCAGTGTTTGACCAGACTTTGAAAATGTCTAATTTGGGAGAAAATAGTGCCCACATATACCTTAGTGGAAAGAATGGCCAGATCTTTGGTAATGTTATGACAGCTAAAAGAACTTAACAACCAGCTCAGAATGTGTTCCCAACAGAGAAATACTTGGTAGAAACAAAAATATAAAAAAATTATAATTCTTGTGTTGGCAGAGCATGTATATTTATACATTCTTCTGTGTTTAGGTCAGTGGTTAGAGAACACTTCCGGAAGGACTGTAGTACACAAATGTTTTCAATTTGAGCTTGTACATTTCATCTAATTGGTCCCTGGGACAAGGTTCACTGCCCTGGAGGTGGCTTAGTTTAATCTTTCAAGCACACGCTAATGAATTTCAGGTTTGGGACAGAAAATGGCTGCTCTGTATCAGACAATCATGTGAACTTGGAATTGTTTCCCAGGAATATCTTCAAGAGCTATGTAATAGCACGCTGGATAGTGGGTTCTTCTGCCATCTCCAACCATAGATAACTGCCCTTGCTCAGGATACTCAGTGCTCGCCTACTTCTAAACTTAGGTTTGGAGATTGCTTCATTTTTGAAGGGAACATTGTGGGAGAAAATATGGCAAAGATCGTCTCAGTGCAACTGGATATATTGAAGGACATTTACAAATAACCTTAAAGCAACCTGAAACGATTGGTTTGGGCTGAATCCATCTGTTTTGGTTTTCTTCTCAGCTGTTTGAAGTAGGAGAAAATTCAAAAGAAAGTCATTTTTCATACCTTTTTATATTGATACATCTAGCAATAATTTAGGGATTTTTATTGCCTCTGATCCAGCCCACCCAAAAAGTCAAGGAAGTGGGGGTAGTTGAATATAGAAACTTGTTTTATGTAGATGGGGAAGAAGTAAGCTAAAGAAGTCACAGACATCCCTTAATCAGAATGACAGGCCCTGAGCTCTGTGTGGCCCCCCCAGCCTGCACACCTTTGCAGTGCTTACAAGACGTGGCCCTGACCAGTGTAGAAGACAGATGCAGTTACTCAGCTTGGCACAGGTCTTGCCTATACGCTCAGAGTAAGTCACAATTTGTGTTGAGCCAGTAGGGGAAGAAAAAATGTTGATTTCATGAATTCCTTAATCTGGAAGGTGACCATGGCCTGTGGTTTTCTTATGGAGTGGGACAATTTCTCTTTCTGTGTGTGATGCTGCGTTCCTCCCAGTGATGCCATTCATCATCTGTGAGACTCTGCACAGGCTGTGCCAGTGGACTGTCTGGACCTCAGTTCCCTCCTTCCTAACTTCAGCATGGTGGGCCAGATAATTCCCTGAGGCCCCTTCCAGCTTCCAAGTCTGAAGTTTAGTTTCTTCTGCACATTAAGAGGTTGGGGCATCAATTGCACTGATCTTCTAGAGCCTAGTTGGGTTGTCCCGCTGATAAACCCCCAGCAGATGAATGAATGAACAGCAACACTCAAGTCCGGCAGCAAGTTTGCTTTGGGCATGCTGGCATGATCAGTGGAAATCCTGGGTGATGAAGCATTCCTGAGTACTAGGCAGGGGGAGTCAGATGACAGTGCCCCATCAGGGCTGGATGCTTCCTGGGGACGGTGGCCTGTTTGAGATCACGAAAAGCAGCAGGAGGTGGTCCCACATGTAGTCTGGCATCAGAAGGGCTTAGGTTCCTCCATGTTCCTGACCATCCCTGCTGAGTTTCCAAACGCCTTAGCCTTATACTCTGGCAGGTTACCTCACAGTTCTCAAACTTGGGTTTGGTTATTTTTCAAATGAAGAGAATATCTACTTTTGAGAGTGAAAAGCTTAAAGGTAATGTATTTGAAAGTGTCTAGCAAAGTGGAGCTCGATAAATAGGTAACGAAAACCAGCAATTTGTAAAAAAAAAATAAAACACACGCACGCACACACACACACACACGAGATAACTTTATCTGAAAGCCAAGGGGAGAGAAAACTAACATTTGTGTAGTGAGTAACAGTTCATAGAGTACTTTAGGACAGAGTATCTTTTAATCCTCACAACCTGGCTTTACAGATACAGAGATGCTGGCAAGTTCCCAGGGTCACAATACATGGAAACAGTGGAGTGGAGATTTAAGTTCTGATTCCAAACTGTGTGTCCCTTTTATAATATGCTACCAACACACCAGTATGTTTGGTTGATATGTTTTATAGTTAGGATTAAGACTCTGAGGATTCTGAAAAAGGAAATAAATGATCAGAAGTGGGTAATAGTCCCTATGTGGTGGGGGAGGGGGGATAGTTTCTCCTTATGCCCTTTTTCTACGACTACAGCTGTACTGACTGCCATTTAAGACAAACCTAGGAAACCCTGGCCAGTTGCTCCTCACTTTGTGGGATCTTAATTCTGAAACAGCTCCTGGGGATAGCTGGAAGATTTGAATATCTCTGGGATATCACTGTCCAGTTTCGAAATAATTTTATAAATGGGTTTCTTCCAGGAAGGATCTGAGTCTTTGCCCGCGGAGACAGCCCTGAAGAACTCCTGCAACGTCAAGCTGGCAATTTCCAAGAAGCAGTCAGGGACCTGCATTCCCAAAGAGACCCAAGAGAAAGAAAAGACATGAGGCCGAGGAGCCCTGGCGCCGTGCAGACCTCGATGTTGCCTGTTCCTTTGGTAGTGGGCTGATAAAAGCATCTCTACTCTCCTGGCTCTCGATTTCTGCAGCCCTAAGAATCCCCTGCTCTCTCATCAAATACAAACTTTAAGATGATGGTACCCATGAGACAGTCCTGGGAAAAAGCATATTAGGGACACTCCCTTTGTAGGAAAAGCTGAATCTACTAATGGTGATGTTTTTAATAAGTGGGAAACTCTGACTCCGATTGAAATTAAATTTGTGGTTCGAAGGAGGTCTTTAGTATTCTTTTCCTTAGTGCCTAATGTGGAAAGGCAGGCCCCAAAGTTTACAACTGTTGTACCTCATCCCACCATCTTTTGGGGTTGGATCCAAAAGACTTGGAATCATTCCTGCCTCCAAAGCCAAGCACGAGGTGGAAGGGGGACTCAAGAATATGTTCCAGGACCTCACTCAGACTGGCACCATAAATGATGGGGAGTCCCACAGGTCCTCCAAATCCAGCCTGGCCCACAGCTTGCCACCACTGCATGCCACATGACCACCCCACGTGGACAGATGTGGCAGCCCTGCCCCATCCACACACCCTGACCCCACGAGCCTCAGAAAGGAAGCTCAGGTTTCCAGACATATTCTGACAGAACATCTGGAAGATGCCAACAGTTCTTCCCTTTCTTGGAGGCATCTGGGTCAAGTGAGAAAGGCAAGGAGAGGGGAAGTGTAGTCAGTGAACCGCAGAACGGGACGCCAGCCCAGTAGAGCTGTCAGCTGCACACAAGGAAATGCGTGTCTGGATTAGGAGTAATCACCTATGACACCTAGGCCACTTGCTCACACTTTACTGATGCTTTACCTCTAAGGTGCCACCAGTGTGCCTTCACAGAGACCCTGGAAGGATGGAGAAGCTTGAATACTGTTTATTCAGTATTTCAAGAAAGGATCTGAGGTGACTTGCCATGAAAAGCCCACAAATAAAACTGTTCAAGTGAGAACAAAGAACCAAATGATGACACAAACAGAAATTATAAAGAAAACGGAGGCCAAGTCTAGGTGCTACAACAGCCGGGCATTTAGTTGTGTGCCTCCTAGCACTAAGGGGAAAAGGGCAGCAAGCTATGGAATTTTCCTTTTCCTTGCAGAGTATTAGATCTAAAATGGCACAACATCTGGTCAACTTCTGTTTCAGTTTCAGAATGCAGACTGGCTGTATATTCATCTTGTGACATCCACCTGTTGCCTCAGAGAAGGCGTTCAGTCTCGTCTTTGTGGGTGGTACAGACATTGGCCCCAGGCTGCCCTGGCTCTCAGCAACTCAAGGACAGACACAGAAGGGGATCTTTTCTAAAACTCAATCACGAAGGGAAGGCACTCATCAGACCTCATGGGACCCAAGTACACGGTCTTACCTCAAAATCATTTCCCTTGTTATAGTGCATATTGAGAGCTCGGAAAAGTTCTGAGTCGCGGAGTACCATCAGCATCTTGGGATTCGTGACACCATCTGAAATCGCTTGCCGGGCAAATTTCTCCATTTGGATGTAATAAAATTCACGAAAGTTGCTGAACCACTTGATCATCTGGGAGGTTATGCAGCGGTTGAACTGTACAAACAACAGGGTCCATCAGGTCAGACGTCTGCCATGGGGTGTTCAGAGTCAGAACTGGCAGCTTCCGGTTCAACATAGGGCTTAATAAGGATGGCTTCAACCACCATTAAAAAGGGCTTTCCTTTTTTGGGCGGGGGCGGGGGGGGTAGGCAGGGCAGAGGAAGACAGAGAATCTTAAGCAGGCTCCACGCCCAGCACGGAGCCTGACCCCGGGCTCAGTCTCACAACCCTGAGATCATGACCTGAGCTGAAATCAAGAGTCGGATGCTTAAACTGATTGAGCCACATAGGTGCCCCAAAAAGGGCTTTCTTTAAAAAAGAAGCCACACCTGTTTTCCTAGCCTATTCACTTACACACAGAAAAATCTCAATTAGCTATGATGTCTATTAGAAAATATTGTTTTTGATATACTGGATTTATGACTTTGTTTTTAACCCATGAAATGCCTTCCGTGGTGTCTAGTGTGACTTTGGTAGGGTCTGGGGTCAAGGTCAGATGCTTCTGCTGCACCTGGGCAGATTACATGGCAGCCCCAGAGCCTTCTGCCAGGTCGAGGGCAAAAGGAAGGCCTAAGGGTGTAGAGTAGAGAGCAGTTCATTGCCACCCTGGAGTTGCAGAATGAATTGAAATCTGAGTGTGGTGCAGGGGTCAACTGAGCAACTGAATATGAGGGAAAGATCTGGAAAACACAAAGATGTCGATACAAAGTATTAGCCACCCTATCCCAACAGCCAGGGTAGAGGAGGTCATCAGAAACTTTACGGGAACAGGTAAGGTCTGGTTCCAATCATCAGAGCTTGACTTTCTTTATTGTCACGCTTGATCTCTATGCACCTTCAGTCAGTTTTGAAATACAGCACTTTGAATATAAACAGGACAGTGTCCGACTCTTTATATATTCTTTCTTTTTCATGGTCTCCCCAGCAGAGACAAAACACTAGGCCAAAGGTGCCGTTTACTAATGTTTCCCTCTCCCTGCCACCTTCCCTCCCCGTGTGTTTCTGGGTATATCTACAGCTCAAAAGCTTAAAATTCAGATACCCAACCTTTGTGGCCCAAAGTTATTCATGCAGAGTCTCAGCCCAAAACTGGAAATTGTACTGATGCCATCAGCAACACGAAGGGGACCTGACGTGCACATATGATGACCTAGGACTTGCCTCTCGCTGGCCAAAACCCACTGCCTCTTGGGAGTTTTGCAGATGCTTTCAGAGGTGAAGAATGACTTTACCTGGACATCGGGGAAGTAAGCCTTCAGGAGGTTGGAGCTGGGGTAGCGTGTGAAGAAAAACATCAGTTTGGCCTTCTTCAAGTGACCAGGATTTAGGCCCTCCTGGATTTATCTCAGTGTCAAGGAAAATTAACACCAGTTTATCAAATAATTGTATCAATTTATCCAAAAATGAATTGTCCTGTTCCTTATGGTTTCTATTTTATTTTTTCTAGCTGAATGGTGTATTAATTCCATTTTTCTGTCTCTAGCAAGTGTGATCAGATAAGCTTTTTCTTAGGGCACCTGGCTGGCTCAGTCAGTAGAACATGTGACTCTTGATCTTGAGGTCTTGAGTTCAAGACCCCTGTTGGGCCTAGAGCTTACTGAAAAAACTAAAAAAAAAAAAAAAAAAAGCTTTTTCCAGATGCTGAATACCATAAGTGTACAGTAAATTTTCAGAATTTAAAAAACATTTGATGTGCAAATGTTCTCTGGCATATATGACATCAAATACAGTTTGTTGTGCTTTGTGCACTTTCAGAATAGAATGGGAAGAGATGGCAGGTCTGTCCCAGATTTCAAAACTCCATGGAGATATTTCCTTCCCCTTCTCTGCCTCAGTTTCCCCATCTGTAAAATGAGATGAGCTGACCAGATGGTCCCCATTCTATTCTCATAGCTCCCTTGGCAGTGTTCAAGCCAACAAGCCCCTAACCAGCCTGAGTGCCGGATCACAGTTTGCTTGGGCTCAGGAAGCTTGATCATCTCGGTTGTGCCTGCTCCCCGTGTGCCCGGCAGAACTCTCCCTCACCCCTCCCAGCTTGGCTCGGACACCCCTCCTCTGTGACATACTTCCTTGCTGAATTAGGCCTTCCTTACCCCAGGCTATCAAGGCTCTTTGTACAAACCTCTGTTGTAGCAATGACCTTACTGGAAGTTTTACTGCATGTTTGTCTCCCCAGTTAGACTGTGAGCTCCTTGAGGCCAAGGACCTTGTCTTTTCATCTTTGTATTCCTCGTGTCTAGCCCGGTGCTAGGAACATAGTAGGTGCTCAATAAATGATTGTTGGCTGAAAGAATGAATGAGTGATTAGATGGTCGGCCTGAATCCATGATATTCCAACCCGTACTTCACCTGAGAACAGACCGCTTCTCCTCTAGTAAGAGCAGGGTGCTGTGGTGTGACTGCCTGGCACCAGCATGGGAGGAAAGTCAGAGCCCATAGCATTCCCAGGGACAGTCCTGGGGCTGGGTGGGAAGCCTTACACAGAGTAACCTTGGAGTTCAGGTCAGAGAGCTGTACCTTTAGGACAATTAAGACTCCTCAGCAGCACGTATCAGTTTAGCCAAAGGAGACCAAGCCAAATGATTACAGTTATAACCAGCCCTGGCACCCAGGCTGCTGCCCAGAGGACCCCTGCCCTTGCCTCCTTGGGCCCACTTCTTACCCTTCTTAAAGGTTCACAAATGCTGTGGAAAGAAGACTGGATTTAGAAGTTCAAAGACCCAGTTTCAGACACTGATTTTGCCACCTATTAGGGGCAAGCCACTTACCTTCTCTGGGCCTCATTTCTTAAAATGTAAGCGTAGTAGTTAAAGCTTGTGCTTGGCAGTCAGGTCCTGGGTTTGCATCCTGGCTCCACATGTGTCTGTCTTGTGACTTTTGGCAAATTAGTTTTCTTCTCTGTCCCTGCCTCTCAGATACCTGATCTAGAGTGGAGGCCTGAAGACGGTGAGGTCACACAGGCCCACAACCCCTTCCCTGAAACGCTGGGCCAAAGGGGCTTCAGATTTCAGAATTTGTTATTTTATAATGGCCACATGGTGCATCTACCATATGTTAGTTAACGGCCAGAGCAGGGGCTGTGGCAGCAGTCCGTAATCCAACACACTCGTATTTCCATAGCCAAGTGGACGGCTATTTACACTAAGTGGGATAGTCGATAAATAGCCTCCAATCAGGGCAGGGCAGGTTTTGCCACCGAAAACGTTCCCATCAGCCTTCGGGGGAAGAAATCACAGGGATTTTCAGAGCTCTTGAGTCTCAGAATTGTGGCTAAGAGGTGGTGGACTGATACCCGGGAACTGGGGCTTCCCTGCCGGCCACGCGGAAGGTGCGCAGCGCATCAGGTGCTGCCCCCTACTGCCTGGTCACCGCACCTGCTCTGCCTGTTGGCCGGATGTCGTATGAACGTGAACGTGCTTTTACGCTTCTTAGTAGCTTGCTCTTAGCGGCTGTCATTGCCCACAGGAGCACATCTCTAATGCTGGAGTGTAGGCAACAGGAATGAGGGACTAGCTGGGGAACCAGGATGCTGCCTGGGGGCCCCAAATCACTGCACGCAGCCAGCCCTGTGGGTGGGCCTCCAGACCTCCCAAAGCTCTCTGAGTCCAGTCCTCATTTCACGGAGCAGGGCTACGCACACAGCAGGTGCCCGAGAAATATCAGCATGCTCCTGCCAAAGGAAGTATAGCGGAGAACCTTGGGGGACTGAGTCCCTTAGGTTCTTCCACCATTGCCCAACTTTAACCAAGTGGCCTCTTACCAGAGGTCCAGACAGGTAGCCTTTGTCACACAGGGCGTTTTCCTGACGATCTGTCTCTACACCTCCAAGAAGATTTCCTACTGCCTGAGAAGCAGTAGTGTCCCCTGAGGTGTTCTTGGCCTTGGTTTTATAGCTGCTGCCTGCCGGCCGGCCTCAATTTCCCTCCCCCCTCCACCCCGTGCCCAAGCTTTAGGGGTGTTTCCAACACCTGTGACCAGAAGAGGGCGCTCCTAGCCTTTAGGACACAAGGGCCCACCCCGTCCTGCCGCCCTTCATACAGCTTCCCCGGCAAAGGACACCACTGTTCACACCTGGATAGGCAGGTGTGACCTCTGGAGACTCAGTTATAGGCTGCCCATGAGAAGGAGCAGCATGAGCTCCGCTCGCTAAAAAAGCAACATCCAAACTAATGTTGTCAGGAACTTTAGTCTTGCAAGGATGCTTGTTGGAAGAGGATCTTTGGTCATGTGCGTTTGAGGCTGCAGACCTTCTCCTCTTAGAGCTTCACATAGGACATCAGCATGTTAAAGGCTCTGAGAGTCTCCAGATCAAACTACCCAGTAGTAGAAATAACCGGTATTTAATAACCAGTATTTAAATAACCAGTAGAAATAATCTAGTATTTACCCAAGCTGCTTTTTTCCTAACTTAACAAACATTAATATCCTGAGGGAGAGTTACTCTGGGCAACACTATTTGAGAGACTGGGGTCTGCCTGAGGATTGCAGTAAATTCCAGATCACTACAGACCTGCCTGGGCCCCTCAGCCTTCCCCATGGGGGCCTCCCCCTTTAGATTCCCAGCCCCCAAGCTCTAGTCCTCTCAGCTGCAGCTTAGAAGCTGTTCCTCAGACTAAAGGCTTCTTACCGCTCCCAGATGCCTCTTGGGTCTAGTCCCTCAGGAAAGCCTCCTCTCTTCCATTTGCCTCAGAAGTTTCTGGTCCCTCATGGCTTCCCCGTGAATTACCTGGACAACCTAGGAGGATCCAGAGGCTTTTTTGCCTGCGGAGCCAAGAGACTGGGGAGCCATGCTTCAGATGAGGTCATTCCTTTGACCCTCTCTGCCTAGGTATACAGGCCACTGACAACCAAGTTATGGGGTTTTTCCTTCCATGGGGTACTTATCATATTTTGGAAGCCCCTTTGAATTTACAAACAAACAAAACTCTTCCAGACCCAAAGGAAAAAGTCAGTAGTGGTAGAATCCAGTGTGTCACAGAAGAAGGTAAAAAGAAGGTAAAGAACCTTTCCAGCATCCTTAAATCCCAGAACGTGGCCACCACCTTGTTAGAACCTCATAACTATGAGCCACAGGGAAGGAGGGCCTGGGAGCAACATTAAGAAGTCCATGAGGAAAGCAAAGTGATTTAATGCCATGGAGTTATTTGTCCCCGCCTCCCCTCACCTTCCAGACTTCCCATTTCTCTGGGCTGTGGCGGTGAGAACTTCAGTTACCAGTAAAGGATATGTGGACTGAAGGAAAAGGTCGCACATCGGGGGCGGCCTGCAGACCGCCCTGTTCCATCTTCACTGAGGGGAGAAGGGGCAGTCTTTCCAAAGGGCGGGGAGGGAAGGGCAAGGCATGCTGCTGCTGGCTCAGGACTGATGGTCGCAGTTTGACGGCTCCCCATGGTCGCAGAGCGGACTCTGAGGAGGGGTGACTTTGGGAAGAGGAGTCGTGGGGAAGGGTGATGCTCCAGTGACCACTGGGTCCGTGGCCCAGTAGCTGGCTAAGAATCTGATTTTCCTGGATGTGGGAAGGCGCAGTCAAAGGACAGTTTGCTGGGGGACCCTGATAGGATCTGGGGATCATCCTCAGAGAGGCAGGGTACCTAGGAGGATCCAGAGACTTGGCCAGTGATAGGGTTCGCAAGGGGACCGCAGTCTGTGGCTGGGCCCTCCTGGGCAAGGTGGCCAAAGGAAATCGATCTTTACAGGCACCTCTCTCAGGAGGTGAGGGCTCACTTCTCCCCTCTGGCACAAGCCCCTGGAAGCTTCTGCCCAGCTGAGTCAGGTGGCCTGATGGATCCAATAGTACCTTTTGTAATACTGAGTCCACAGCTTGGGACACTGCCCCGGTCAATTCTTTCCTCAGAATCTCCAGCAAAGCCCGCGCTCCACAAGGAAGGAACCTGGGCTCCTCAGACTGGTAGCCCGCCTCAGACGCTCTGTGTTTTTCCTCCCCGGAGAGGTCCCCACGGGAACCCTGGAAATGGTCACTGTCCATAGCCCAGGGCCTAGATCCATAGCCCTTCCTCTGCTTTACGCTCAGAGGGCCCTTGTCCGTCTCGGAGCCTCCTGGGTCCTGGGCTGTGTCCCTGGGCTCAGCAGCCTGCAGGATGTGCTTTTGTAAATGTCTTAGCTGTTGCTTCAGCTGATGGAGCTGTTCCCTTACCCGAGGGCCCCCTTTCCTGCTGCCATGGTCTCCGGCAGGGCCTGGCTTCAGGGGGCCTTGCTGCATGGGAAGGCTCTGCTTCCTCTTCCGCTCCCGGGCCTTCTCTGGGCAACAGGCACCATCCCTGGCTCGGGCATTGCCCGGGACCAGAGCCAGAGCGTGAGGAGAGAGGCACATGCCTTGGACGATGGTCTCCACCCTGGCCCTCTTTGCTTGGATGTTCTCATCCCAAAACCAGTCAGGGTCGGCAAAGCTGGAGCTGGGGCCCAGGCTCCAGGCAAAGGGGGAGTCTCTGCCCTTCTCTCGAGGGGCTGGGCTTCTCTCACCTTCCATACAGGGTTCTGCCAGGTGGGAGCAAGCCCGGGACAGAGGAGGAAGCAAGCCAGGGTTTGGATCCATCTCAGAGTTGTGGCTCCCTGAGGGAATCTCTTCTCCGAACGTCCTCAGCTGGAGGGGTACCCAGAGCGAGCTGAGGGTTCCTCCTCTGCACTCAGAAGGATCAGAAGCAGCTGTCAAGGATTCAGACTCCGTGATGCCAGAGCTTACAAACCTGAGCAGACTCTGGAATTAGAGACCGGAAGAAAACGATAGCATACGTGATTTTGAACAGTGCTTTTCAAACCTGAATGTGCAAACAAATCACCTAGAGATCTTATTACAATGCAGATCAGATTCGGCAGGTCTGGGGTAGGGCAGATTCTGTATCTCTAACCAGCTCCCCGGTGATGCTGTGCTGCTGGTTGGGATCCTACTATAAGAACATTCCTGAGGCACCTGGGTGGCTCAGTCAGTTGAGCATCTGCCTTCGGCTCAGGTCATGGTCCCAGGGCCCTGGGATCGAGCCCCGCATCGGGCTCCCTGCTCCGCGGGAAGCCTGCTTCTCCCTCTCCCTCTGTCTGCCGCTCCCTCGCTTGTGCTCTCTCTCTGTCAAATAAATAAATAAATAAATCTTAAAAAAAAAAAAAAAGGAACATTCCTAAGAGTGATCCTTCAGGGAGAAACTGCAAAGGGCAGTTTTACTAGGGCATAACCATAGAATAATAAAAATAAATGTAATAGCAGCAGTAACTGCACAACTGCCATTGGGCCAAGAACTTCACATCCGTGCCTAATTTAATTCTCATAACATCTCCCTGAGAATGTTGTCATTCTCATCTAAGAGATAAGAAAACAGGCTCAGAGAAGTTAGGTAACCTCCCCAAGTTCATACAACTAGTAAGTGACAGGCTGGAGTCCAAACAAGGTTTATCTGATTCAGAGTGACTTTCTTAGTGTCTACGCCACAACCCCCACCCCCAGGAACTTGTTAAAAATAGCAAATTCAGGAACCCCCACCAGTCCCGCACAATCAGAATCCCTCCATACTGGGACAGGGAACCTGCACTTGAAACCAGCAAACCAGAGCTTGAGAACCAGCTGTCCTGCTCCTGGAAGAATCGGATTATGCATTCATTTTCACGTTCAACAACTATTTATTAAGCACCCCCTATGCATCGGGCCTTTGAGCACTTGGAGAGACAGTGGTGAATCAGAGCAGCAGAATCCTGCTCTCATGGAGCTGGCTGCCTCCCAGGGGAAGAGGGAATGAACACGTCTATTTTCAGGTCGTGATACCTGTTATGAAGGAGAAGTGCGATAAGGGGTTGGAAGTTGGGATGAGGGTGTGGGAAGAAGCAGGGAGCTATTTTGGGAAAGCCTGCCTAAAGCTATTTCTTTCCCCCCACAAAGTATCAAAATACACTGTACTTTAACCAGGAGGCTTCAGATAGCAAGTTTAAGGCACTTGGAGTTTACAAAACATTTGTACATGCCACCTCATTGCACCTGGCGCCAAACTTGAGAATCAGTGTAATTCTCCCATTTTACAGGGGAGGACACCGAGGCTCAGTGAGGCTGAGAGTGGCTCTCAGTTACTAAGATCTCAAATCCTGGGGCGCCTGGGTGGCTCAGTCGTTAAGCATCTGCCTTCGGCTCAGGTCATGATCCCAGGGTCCTGGGATCGAGCCCCGTGTCGGGCTCCCTGCTCCGCGGGAAGCCTGCTTCTCCCTCTCCCACTCCCCCTCCTGGTGTTCCCTCTCCGCTGTGTCCCTCTCTGTCAAATAAATAAATAAAATCTAAAAAAAAAAAAAAAAAAATTAAAAAAAAAGATCTCAAATCCTTTGACACAATCACACTTTAGCGGCCACCCTGGAGATGGAAAGACCTGTACAAGAGACTGACTTCAGGGCACCCTGGTGGAGCAGTCGTTTAATTGTCTGACTCTTGGTTTTGGCTCAAGTCCTGATCTCATGAGATTGAGCCCTGCATTGGGCTCTACACTCAGTGCGGAGTCTGCTTAAGGCTTTCTCTCCTTCTCCCTCTGCCCCTCCCCTCTGTTCTCGCTCTCAAATCAATCAATAAATCTTTAAAAAAAGAAAAAGAGACTGACTTCTCTGTCAAGTGGATGCCTCCTTTCCTACAAGAGATAAATGAATTTCTTTCCTCCAGAAATTTCCACTCTCCTTTGCTTTGCTTGCACAAATGCTGGCAGGACAGAGTCTGCTTGTTTTCTTCCTACTCTCGATCTAAAGTTTACTTGGAGTTCTCTACCTCGGGCAAACCTTGGCTTTTCAGGAGCCTCTGGGTTCTTGTGTGGACGTGGCCACACCTCCACCTGGAGCTGCCGGGCGACCAGCAGAGATACCCGACAAGCTCCCCGGGAGCAATGCTGCTCCCACTGCCAAGGCGGAGGGTGGGAGGTGGTCCTGCCAAGCCATCACGAGGCAACTGGCACTGAAAGCGAGGCTCGTGGGTCAGAAGACGTAGAAGGTTTTTGCTTTGAGTAAGACATTTGTAAATTACTAAGATAAAATAGATGATTTGCCGAATTAATGTACATTTAAAAATGTATCGCTAAATTCATTCCAACAGTCTGGATGGTTTACCACCTCATGAAGAGAGACACGTTTCTTAACTTCCTGCAATCATTTGACAATGAATATATAGTATTTGTATAATATGAAAAAGTGATTTTTACATCAGCTCTTACCATCTGCTAGGCATCTCTGGGTCATTCATTAAGCACACATTGGCTGCTTTCTAACTAATAATGATCACTGAACTGGCAGAATTGATATTTTAACCAAGAGAGACTCGCAGTAATACAAACTGTATATATTTTCAGGTAAGTACCTTCCAAAAAGAAGAGGGGATTGGTTATGATTATTCTAACTGCTGAGTGAACATCTCCTGCTTAAATTCAACATTTTCAAGCCCAAACTCTATAGTTGCCCCTCTGCCTCACCTTGCATACTACTGATCTTGTTTAAGCTGGAAGCTGGGAAGTCTCCTTGACTCTCCCCAACTCCTCATCCTCAACAGTGATTTGGTTACCATGCCTGGTCATTTATGGCAAAAAATTGCTCTGGACTGCATCCCACCGTGCCTTTCCCACTTTCTTGATTCAGGGTCTCAACTTTTTACCTAGAGAATTATAATACCTCATGACTGGTCCCCCATCCTCTAGCCTCTCCTCACTCTGGTCCTTCTACATTCATTCATTCAACAAATGTGGATCGAGTGCTGACAACAGACAAAATCCTCTGCCCACGTGGAGCTAACATTCATGCAAAGGGAGCCAGATGTCGTAACATACTAAGTAAGTATGGAAGGCCATTGTAATGGGGCCTTGTTGGCCGCTGTGAAGATGTTGGCCTTCACTCTGACATAAATGAGGGCCCACTGGAAGTTTATAAGTAATATGACCTGACTCAGTTCTTTTTTTTTTTTTTTTTAAGATTTATTTATTTATTTATTTATTTATTTATTTATTTATTTGACAGAGAGAGACACAGCGAGAGCAGGAACACAAGCAGGGGGAGTGGGAGAGGGAGAAGCAGGCCTCCCGCAGAGCAGGGAGCCCAATGTGGGACTCGATCCCAGGATCCTGGGATCATGACCTGAGCCGAAGGCAGACGCTTAACGACTGAGCCACCCAGGCGCCCCCTGACTCAGTTCTGAAAGGATCATTTTTTACTGGATGGAGAATAGACTGGGGGTGGGGAGCAAGGGTAGAAACAGCCTTAGAACACTCTAGGCCTCTAGGCATCTAGACAGTGACCCAGAGGATAATAATGTAGTGAGGTGTTTCAGACCAGGACAGTAGCCAGGCAAGTGGCAAGTTACATCAGATCCTGGTATATGTTGAATGGGGACCCCACGTAATTTGCTAACAGACTGGATGTGGAGCACAGAGAGAAATAAAGTATCACCGATGATGACTCCAAAGCATTTGGCCTGAGCGACGCAGAGGACGAAATTGTATGAGCTGAGTCGGAAGGACTCTAGAGGAGTGGGTTTGGGGAGGAATATCAGGAGCTCTGTTTTGCACGTGTTGAAATTGAGATAATTATGAGACATCTAAATGAAGATGTTGAGAAAGCAGTTGGATAAATAAGCCTGGGACTCGGTGAAGAGATCTGGGCTAAAAATAAGAAGTTGATGGTTGTCAATATGCAGACGGACGAGCTCACCAAGGAATGAATGTACACAGAGAGGAGGAGGGCACCAAGGTCTGAGTCCTGGGGCAATAGCAACATGAAGAGGCTGGGGGTAAGAGGGGAATGAGTCAAGGGTGAGAAGGAGCAATCAGTGAGGTAGGAAGAAACCTAGGGGTGTGGGAGTTCCTAAGAGCCAAGTGAAGAAAGTGTTTATAGGAGCAGGGACAGCTCAAGTCACATAAGGATTTTTAGTAACATAGAGGCATTCGAGATCTTGATCAGAGAAGTTTTGGTGGAGCGCAGGGAGAAAAAGCCTGGTCGGAATGGATTTAGGGCAAAGGACAAGAGGAGGGCTTGGTGACGTTAACTATGACAACTCTTTCCAGGAGTTTTGCAGAGAGGAGAGAAACGGGACAGTGGCTGGAGGGAGAAATGGGGTCAAGATAGAAGAAATAACAGCATATTTGTAGGCTAATGGTGATGCCGTAGAAAGATAGTCTCTTACTGTAGGCCAGAGGGGGAGAAGTTCTGGAGCCCGTCCTTGGGTAGGAGGGTGGGGGCGAGATGTCACGCCTGGGGGGAGATGGACTTTAGCGAGGAGGAGCCTTGGTTCGTCCATGATAGCGGGGGAGGCAGCGTACATGGACAGGAGCTGCCGGCTGGGTAGCTGCGGTGATGGTGGGAGCCAGTGGAAATTCCTTTTTGATTGTCTCTGTTCCATCAGCAACGTTGGCATTGGCATTAATTTTCTAAAACATGGGCCTGCTTATGCCCATTCATGGAATCAGTCCTTGCTAGCTGCCTGTTGAATATAAGGTACGGATGTCTCAGCTCCACTTGCCTAAGCATTGCCACCGAGCTGTCCTGGGCTCTGTGTTCCCTGAGCACGCCAAACTCCTTCATGACTCCAGGTCTTGGCACTTACTATCCCATCTGCCCGGAAGGCCCTGCTCTCACTTTTCTACCTGGCAAACCTCTACTCCCTTTCCAAAATCCAACTGAAATGTCACCTCCTCTCCGAAGTAATCAATGTGTCTTCTCCTTTATTTTTGAAAAAGATTTTATTTATTTATTTGAGAAAGAGAGAGCACAGAGGAAGAGTGGGAGGGAGAAGCAGACTCCCCACTGAGCAGGGAGCCCGATGCGATGTGGGGTTCAATCCCAGGACCCCAAGATCACGACCCGAGCCGAAGGCAGACACCCAACCAACTGAGCCACCCAGGCGCCCTGTCTCTTCTACTTTAGACTGTGAGTTCCCTCTTTGTGTCCCCAGGTGGTGCCTGACTTCCAAGGGTCGCCAAATAGATGTTTGCTGACTCAGCTGCATAAATTGTTTTTTTGTGCTTCATGTAGACTGATTTTCATCTCTTCATTAGAGGTACATTATTTCAGATCTTTCTAGCATCTACACGGAGCAAAACCAATACAGAGACAGATAGATAGGACACAGAACCACCAACTTTGCCAAATCTCCCTTGTGGGTTATCTAAGGTTTTGGTTTTTTGAGTTTCCATGTAGTCTGTGTACTCCAGAAGACAGAACTACTGGGGTAAGAGAAGGAGCTCAGTGTGCTTAATGAAGCAACAATCAGCGGGAAAGTCTTGAGGCCAGAAACTAGACTCCAGCCAGACTCCACTGTGGTTGGATGCCCAGAGATGCTTACGCCCATCTCTGGAGGACAATCGTGGAAACTCTACATCTGGGCAGCTGAGAAACAGGAAGCCTGTATGTTGGGCCAGCGCGCCACCCAGAGCCCTTTACCTGGGTGTGGCATGAAGCCGCGATGCTTTCTGTTTAAAAATTAACTAGCAGCGCACTCACATTTACTGACGGAATAGCAATTGCCACAGCCCTTTAAAAATAGCTTTACTGGGTTTCTTAGATGATGAAAGCAATTAAGGGTCATTTTACTTCCCAAAGATAGACATGTACTGAGAGGAAATGAAAGATACCTGTAATGCTGCCTCCTAGGAAAAAAAAAAGTTTTGGTTAACTTTTTCCATACTTTTTTCTCTGTGTACAGATAAACTTACATGATTGCTCCTAATTATATAAATTTTTAAAAATGGAATTATAAATATAGTCCTATGGCTTCCTTTTTTTTTTTTTTGGTTTTTTTATGTCAGTGAGTATCAATCTACAACATAGTGAAAGCTGATGATATTCCATTGTATGTATATATCATAATTTATTTAGTAAATTCCCTTTTGATCAGACAGATTTTTTCTTATGTTGTCACTAGTATAGTAATACAGACAATAGAGTATGGACCATAGAGTCAGACTGCTTCGATTTAAATCCCTAGAGCCACTTACTACCTCTGTGACCTCTCGGTACCTCAGTTTTCTCATCAATAACATGGAAATAACCATAACACCTACTGTTACCATAGGGTTGTTGTAAGGATCCAGTTTTTAGACCAATTCCTGGCACGTAGTAAATTACTGATAAGTGTTAGCTATTGTTCTTATGAATAATATTGGAATGAACAGTCTTGTCTATATCTCTGGGAACTTACACTGTTTTTTGCTTAGAATATATTTCTAGAAGTGGAAATTCTGGGTCAAAGACTAGGCATGTGTGAAACTTTTATGTTCATTGCTCAACTGCCCTCCAGAAATGTACCAGTTGATTGGTAGTGGAGATGGGGGAGTGACGGAGTAATTTCTGTATATTTCTATATTAACCAAATTTTTATAAGGATCTATTCATTGCATTGTTTGCATGTATATTTTTAAATAGCCAGTTTTCTTTCTTAACAACATATCTATAAAACACACATATCCCCACAGCCCCTCATCCTCATCGACACTGGGCATTCCTGGTCCTTTAATTCTTTGCCAATACGATGGGTGAAAATATCACCTCACCCTTTGTACCTCTGATTCTTAGCAAGCTGGCTTATTTTTCTCATATTTGGGAGGATATTTATGGGCTATATATTATGAAACTTAAACATGTTTATACCATTTGAGTCAATGGCTCTATGTCTAAGAAGTAAAATCAAGAAAATGATGCCATACCCACAGATTTATGTCAAAAACGATCATCCCACAATTAAAGAGTAGATACAGGTTAAATATAAATATGGTATTATTTATGTGATGTTATATTATGTAACCATTTTTTAAATCATGTTTAGGGGCACCTGGGTGGCTCAGGCATTAAACATCTGCCTTCGGCTCGGGTCATGATCTCAGGGTCCTGGGATCGAGCCCCGCATCAGGCTCCCTGCTCGGCAGGAGGCCTGCTTCTCCCTCTCCCACTCCCCCTGCTTGTGTTCCCTCTCTCGCTGTGTCTCTCTCTGTCAAACAAATAAATAAAATCTTTTAAAAAATAAAAAATAAATAAATAAAATCATGTTTAGGAAGAGTTTATAGAACATTATTTTATAATAAGTAGGGAGAGAGAAAATCACTTATTAAAAATACAAAGGAGAAGAGATGAGAAAGAAATAATTAAAATGTTAGCAATGTTGTTTAGAATAGGATAGAACCATGGATAGTTCTTTTGCTCTATTTCTTCTTTTTACTTTTCTGTATTTTCCATATTTTCAATGGGTACATTTTCACATTGTAATTTAAAAAAAGCAACCTTTGCCCTTGATAATAAAAAACTTGCATTTATGGGGAAGGCTATGCATGTGTGGGGATAGGGGATGTATAAAAAATCTCTGTACCTTCTGCTCAGTTTGTGAATCTAAAACTGCTCTAAAAATTAAAGTCTACTAAAAAAACCAACAAACAAAGCTTGAATCTTCTCATTGACTCTTTCCTGGATATACATTCCTGGGCACCAGATGTAAAAAGCTCTACTAGAGAAGCAAATTTAGC